TTAACAGCAAGAATGCTAACCATCCTGTCTGGAAACCGTAATTTTTTTATAATGCTGGTATATATATATATATAAGCTAAATTTGGATAGATTAGCTGTTTATAAAAACAGTTTTAATCGACTATAGATTATGTAATTTCAGTAAAATTTGCTTACGGGTTATTAAATTGCAGTATAGGTTGTAGAATTAGGTGATGCCATATTTGTTGCTTCCAATTGTTTATTTATGTATTTGAACTTAGTCGCGGCAGTTTTAAGTGGGTCTCAGCTATGTCGAAGCGTGGTACGTCTGGTTCCAATGTTTTTTGATCCTGGGTAGTGCCTCCTGGTTTCTTATGAGTGCTATTTTCATTTTTGATTTAAATCAAAGGACGTGGTGGTTCTTCTGGAGGAAAGTTCCGTATTACCTTGGGTCTTCCCACCGGCGCTGTCATGAATTGTGCCGATAACACGGGTGCAAAGAACCTATACGTCATTGCCGTTTTTGGTGTACGAGGTAGACTTAATCGCCTTCCGACTGCAGCGACCGGTGATTGCGTCGTGTGCAGCGTTAAAAAGGGCAAGCCCGAACTTCGTAAAAAGGTCTGGCAAGCCGTTGTAATCAGGCAGCGGAAGGCCTTTCGTCGGAAGGATGGTACATTCATTTACTTTGAAGATAATGCCGGTGTGATCGTGAAACCTAATGGCGAAATGAAAGGTAGGGTTTTTTATCTGCCAAATTTGAGTCAATCTTGCAAGCCTAATTACGTCAATTGTTGACGTCCAGACAGCTTGCCAAAACAACGTGTCACAGTCGAAGTATTCGTCTAGGTCACCACATTTGGATGGCGTGTTAGGATTAAGATTTTTCTTCGTTGCTGTTCTTTGTTTATTGGTGCCAATTTGGTTTCTTTTTAGGCTCCGCGATCACTGGTCCTGTTGCTAAGGAATGTGCCGATATGTGGCCCAAGATAGCTTCTAGTGCTGGTTCTATTCACTGATTTACTGAATAAACAGTTTTGGCTGAATCCTTTGAATTTGTCTCTTTAATTGTTGTTTACTGAATCTCAGTTCCTACCAGCGCTTCATGGTCACGCATGCGTCGGAGCTCATGAGGGATGTAGTCATCGGCGCTTTTCTTATGAATCGCATTTCTGTAATCTGTTTTTTTTTATTTTTAATGCTGTAATGCATTTGTGGTGTAGAAGTGACGCGATAAGGTGAAAATAAATTACGCCGATGTGGCTTTGGGTTGGTGTCACTTGCACCCGTTGCTAAGACGGCCTTGCGTGCCTTAGATGGATTCGACCTTTCTCCAAAACCTTGTATATGCTGCAACGAAGTGATATTGAGCTTATGCTTTATTCAAACGATAAAGTGGCGTGTCTAGTCCTTGATCCCCATAAAGTGGAAGACCGTGCCCTCGGCCTAGGTGGTGGACCGCGCTCGCGGGCTGACCTCGGAGCGACAAATGTGAACCTAGTCTCTCACAACGCCATCACGTCTAGGTGGACTCATGCAGATCCAATTTGCAGTTTTCAATCTGTCCTTCCTTGTTTGGCATCGCATAATCGGTTTGGGTTTTTACCATTAAGGGCTATGATTAGGCCTGGTGGGATTTCATGCAATTTCAGCATAACGGAGGTCAGGCCTAAGCGGTAGAGTAGGGACTTAGGCCTGTGCCCATTGATTCCTTGAATTTGTTCTCTTTTGTGTCTGTCGTGCGTTAGGTTGTTCCATCCAATGGTATGTGTAGATTTGGTTCTGAGGAGATGGCACTGGGAATCGACGACTCCAAAAATCGCCCCACTAGCATAAAGTTATCAGTTTCTTGACAAGGCATTCTTTCACGTTTTATGGTGAATTGCTTATGATCTAACGACTGTAGACCTGAAGTAATTTCATAGGATGCGTACTTCAAACTAGGAATCGTTCAAACCACTTTTAATACCATTTGCTATCAAAATAATTTATTCGAATTACTACCATTTTGGTCGGGATATCCACATCATCTAATGGACTAGCCGATTTAGCCTCCTGGAAGATGTATATCGACTTAAATCTGGAATTCTGAACTTCGTGCCACTGCCCGGAAAGGAAGCCATATATAAATGTTGGTGGTCGCAACATTTTTCGCCTAATCTTTGCATAGGCTCAAAGCTTTTCACCACGGTCAAACATGGAGCGGAATATGTGACTGCCTGGACGGGGTTCCCTTAGGAGACTTCTCGTGATCTTAACTTCATGCAATTGTAGCATAAAACGATGGTCCCTTACGACGGTAGTGGTTCGTATATTGGCAGACCCTCTCAATGACTAACCACCTATCACTGGACAAGTCCACGACCGAAAAATCCTTTCAATGGTTTCGCAAGCACAAGTGTTGTATTTAGAGTTATGTTCCCGGAAATCAGTCCACCGCATGGCTCTTTAATTCCAAGATTATTTTCTGCTCGCCATCTATGGTGAATTGCTGGCATGAATTCCATTTTGATCTGATTTAGAATGTATTTCGGACAACTGTTGCTTTTCAGACTCTTCTGTTGTGCCAGATTTTTTAACTTTCGAGCCACCGATCTTTTGTATCTCTTCAAGGCCCTTCTTCTTGAAATGATTTTTCTTCATATCAGATAGTTCTCTGTTCAGGTTTTCTATTTGTCTCTTGTGGTCTTTTATATTTGCATTGTAGGTCTCGATTTGCTTTGTCATAACCTAAAATAGAAATAAGTCTCCATCTTGATCTGTGACCATATTCATAGTAGTTATTCCTCGATGATAGTGTGTGAGGTTTTTCTTAGAAAAATAATATTTTTTCATCCAAACAAACGTATTTTAGGCCGCTAAATAGTTTGTAACGTAATCAACTTTGGAATGTTCAGTCTAAAATATCTTGGGGAAACGGCCGAAATCAACAAGACCCGAAAAGGCTAACTGACGTCCTTCAAACCGGAGAAGCGTGAACAGAAGTTACAAAGACAAAATGGCATTAAGAGGTCTCTTAGTAAAATAATATGCTTAGCACCTTGCACATCGCAGTCAAAAATGTACCCGTTGAAGAGAGGATAAGGAATTTTCGTTTGCCATCTGAGATTAAACGCCTGAAAGATAATGCCATTGCAAAACGCCGTTAGCGTTTATGATTTCTACACATCCACCCATTGAATTGTCAAATTAAATAAAATCATATCGTATCGACATCGAAAACACAGGTTTGGAAACTGAAGACCTATAAAACGATTAAAGCCATCGTAAAAGATCATTTTAAGCGACCGCGGTGGTTTTCTCGACGGTACAGTTTTAGATCATGTTCTCCTGGGACTTACGTAAATGGGTGGTACGAATTCATTAACGTGTGTATAGCCGCTATTTAAGGTTGCTGAGATCGATTACACTGCAAAATAATAAACTACTTAAAAATACTGGGAATGAGTCGAATTATTTAGCGGAAACCTCTAGTACCGAAACAGGCCGCAGCAATGTTGAATTGCACCATAATCTCAACCAATCTTCTGTCGTTGTTTTATTGGCCTGTGGGGAAGATTGGTAACCAGCCAAAGAGAAGACTGGATTAAAAGCATTTATGTAAGGGAAAACGCATCTAGAAAGGCGAGCGTGGATAGACTAGTCTGGTTCTGGTCTGCGGTATGCCAATAAGCCAGTCTTGTACCTGCCTTCTCCGTATTACGGATCGGGTAGTCAACACCCTGGAATCACGTTAAGGTCGCTTCTAATTTTAGACTGCAATCGAGAGAACCCTTGATGTAGTGTCCGAGGCACAACACAAGACTTATTATATTTTCTACATAATGAGGACAGAACTCAGAGAAAATTTCAAACGACCAGCCGCTGGTGGGATTGAGTGCCATCGAGATTATCAGTGCAACCTCATTCATAAAACTACCGATCCTACAACATAACCCGTCACTTTAAATGCCGATTGTGATGTCGGGGTCTTATTGCTATGGTTGTGCTCAACCACCTGAGCATCTTTATGATCAGTAGTCAGCTAGGAATTCATTTAAACCGAGTCTCAAGGTCAGTCAGCAGATTTCTTTACTCAAGACTGAGGGATGAGGCTCAATCGGACTACAAAACCATTGAACAAGCGTTTTAGTGCAAGAGGTAAAAAAAGCGACGATCGGGCTTATTCGTGATGCCTTTGATCGAACGTCAAGAGGGGTGAGAAAGTATTTAAACATGTGTGTTCGCTGAAAACAACGTTTGACTATGTGGAAAGTATTATCCCCACTTATTGGCAGGAACCCTTGATGCAGTGTAATATCGAGTAAATTAATACCGTACCCCTCATACTTGTGCTTACTAGTAGCCTCGGCCTTGTCTCATGTTTGCCCTACTTTGTTGTAATTTTTGAGCACTTCCAATATGGTTAACTATTTTTCAATTGTTCGCTTTACGATTTGACCAGTCAGGGTGACCACTACGAACCAGAAACTTCGAACTCGCTTGTAATTTCTGCATTATTACTTGGTGCTTGCCATGTATAGAATGCGTATCTCCTTCCATGGAGATAGAAAAGTAATGAGGGCTTGTAGTGGACTGACAGCCGCCCCGCGTGAGTGTGCGTGCATGAAGGCCCGTGTGTAGCGATGACTTATCCCCTTTTGTTATTGATTTTTGTCAGCATTCGCCTGTTACGCACGCGTGCTCATACGCAGACAAAGTCACTTGGTTGTTTTGACATCAATAAACCGGTCGTGTCCGCTCTCGCCTCTTCTCCACTCTACTCGAGTTGTCTTGGGCTGTTAATTAGAGGGTTGTCAGGTAGTGCTAAATCCTCTAGTCACTACATCTGGTGACCCCGACGTGATGAAATCCGGCTACTGCACATTTGGTTTTCCC